GCATGTCACTTGATTCATGTGCGTGCCACAGGAACCTAGGAAGCCCCCTTACCCCGAGTCAGACCCTTGGTCCATTTGGCCCAGTTGTGTCAGCACTGACTGGCAGGGGCTGTGCAGGAGTCCAGGCACAGGTTTTTCCTAGCCCTCCCAGGAGATGCCAGGACCAAATCTGGGACTTTCTGAGTACAAAGGATGTGCTCTTCCCAAGGAACTGCAACCCCTCCTTAGTTAGTGGTCCAAGGGAACACACGACCCTGTGTTCCTGCTCCAGGCTTTTCACCAGAAAGCCTTGTAACAGAGAGGTTGGACGGGTTTTGCTGGCAGGGCAGCTTCACAGAACAACCAGCCCTGCAACATGGAAAGAAAAACTTCCCAGCCTGCAGTGCTGACCCTCCCCTCTCCCCACAGCATGCAGGGAAGCTCTACAGCTTGAGAGAAAGTGTTTGTGTGGAAGCATATGCATGTTTATTTTTCCTCCACAGGAAGCCAACATTCAAGGAATCTTCCAAGGTTGCTTACCATTTCCACCTTAGAGAAGGCTACGATTATGATGTGACAAAGCAGCATTGACAAATCTGTGGCTGAACTGAAATTTATACCCCAAACTTCTAGATGCACATCCTTACTACTCTCCTTTGTCCCATTTCATTTTTCCACAATACTCGTCCTATGCCTATGAGTTGCTGTTTCCTCTTCCTTAAAGCAGTTTACCATTGCATAATCATGGCAGATTTTTTCAATCTGCAATCTTGTGTACCCTGTTGGATCTTCATATTAATACAGATAATTCATCACTTGTTTGCAAGGTCACAGTAATCTTTTCTCATGTGATCAGATGAGTCTGAATAAGTAAATTCTTATATAACCTGACTATAAGCCAAAGAAAATGTGGAATGGCTCTATTTTTCTGATGGCTTGCTTCTTGACCTTTGTAAGGTTTGGAATTTGTTTCCCTCTGATAGATAAAGAAGTTTGAATAAGTTGCTTTGTCTCAATCTAGCCACACATGGAGGATGTGATATATTTGGTGCCTGGCATCACATTTTGCACAATAAAGTCTTGCATACAGGAAGGCTCCTTGCATAAACAAAAACACCTTCCACTGATTTTTAAAAGAGAGCAACGATACCTCATGCCTTCCAAGTCAGTTCCCACCTACTGCAAGTCCTGCATTACCCTGCTGTTCTAAAAGATCCCAAACCCTCGAGAACTACCTGTGTGAATCAGAAACCAGAGTCAATGAACAAGTGATGTTCACAGTTATCTGATTCTCTGGACACCCTTTTGAAGTTTCCTCTCCGCATTTTCCATGTACATTTGCACACTTTTCTCATTTCAATCAAACTGGGAAAATGTACATTTTCAAAATAACACAACCATACACCCTCAGCATAAAAATGTACAATCTTTCAAGAGCAAACATGAGTTTCAGAATTTGTGAGCATTCTCAGAGAACACGTTCTCTTGCTTGCGTTCACATTTAGGGTTGTGATCATAGTGTGTTCACATGATTTGCAAACATTAACACACTCATTGAAACTTCCATCCCTAGATGGAAGCATAATTGTATGCTTATTTTTTAAAAAGAACCACGTAATGGTTAGATGATCTATAATGCTGACTGAAGTGGGGTGCTGCTAGTGAGTAATATTTTTCGGTGGGTCAGCTAAATGAGGTTGCTCCTGGAGGGCCATATCCTTACTCCTGTTCCCAGAGCATCCCCAGATATAGGAGCAACAAACCAGTTTCAACAACACAAATAAACCTTCCAAACTGAACAGGGAAGGGGTAGTGGGATTGGTGGCATGGAGAGAGAGAGGGAAGAGCCATTCTTTATAAGTTAATTCATGTTTTCTTTTTTAAAAAAATCAATAGTACACCTCCTGCCACATCTTTCAACTGCTTATCCTATCATGTTTTGCCAGATCATGGGAGCTATAACAAAGGCATTGAGGAAACACATTTTTGGCAGCCTGTGCTAGTCCTTCAAATGTTCTGCCCTAGATCATTTCAAGCTCACACTTTGTACTAATAGTCCTGATTTACCCTTAAATTAAACTGGTTGCTTTAACAGAATGAGTTTTCAACTTCCAGGAGACAGGAAGACTGTATTTTAAACAGCACAAACCAAGAATAGTTGTCTTTGGCTATAAACCCAAGGTGTTATGTTGCCTGAGTGAATGCATTGTAATGAGCAAGCCCTAAGGTTTGCTCGATGAAAGCAAACACTTCCTACTTCATGTGTCACATATTCCCTGTCAAAGAAAAGGCACAGGACAATCATAACCACTGAAAGCAACGTAGCAACATTCTCACAAAACCTTCCAGGACTATTTAATGTCAAGCTGTAAAATGGTACTGCATGTACTGTACGGAAAGGGCATGTTCTGCACTGAATTGAACCAGATTTTTAAATCCTCTCACAATATACATCCTTGTTCGTGCAGGTGTCTAGCCTAGCACACTGCCTTCTCTTACATAAATCCAGCCAACTGTTAAGATCATTGGAGGAGGCCTTGCTGGCCATTCCAAGTGCCACAGTTGTCACTGTGTAATTCCTTAAGAACAAGCGCCCTTGCTGGTGGTACCCATCCTGGGCGGGAGTGGGGACACCTCCTGCCATTGGGGAGGAAGAAAATGGGATAACTTTCAAATGCCTTCTGAAAAGATACACATTTGCTGAGACATTCACATGACCATCAGTCATGTGGTTTTCTGTTACTGTTTCTGTACTGTTCTCTAGGAGGAGGAGGAGGAGGAGGAGAAGACGAAGAAGAATTGTGTTGTATTTTAAATTAGATTTTCGTTTATATACATATGGAAAGCACTTGGGGATTTTTGAATAATTGGAGGTATTTAAATAATAGAAATTAAATAAATAGAAATTAAATAATAGAATTATTAGAAATTAAATAAATAATGCATCATCCTATGACTTGCACTTGAGGGAAGTCCTGAGTGTCACCAGCTTCACAGCAGCAAAAAAAATTCCATGTCACTTCATTTATCTTCCATATATCAAGAAGCAATGGCGACATTGCTTCTTGTCATGCCCAACTCATGTGAAAAACGGAATCAGAGGGTGCAACTCCTGTTTGAAAGCGGTGAAACAAAGTCACCATGAGTTGACATCTCGGGATATGCTGGCCTGATGAAGCAATCATGGAAATACTCTAGAATGCTCCATCACAACCTACCATATGCTGGAAGAATTTCCATATCTAGGTTTCAAACTGTGAATACTTGCAAAGATGTCTCCCTCACCACCACGAGGTGGGCCAAAACTGCTGCACAATGTCAACTCATGGTGATTGCACTAAGTTAAAAAGAGAACCAGCTCCCATGTGGTTGGCTTCCTTCTGTTATCTTATAGGGTATTAAGGCTTCTCTTCTAAAGCAGCTGGCACCAGTATCTTTAAAAACATCTCACATGCATTGCAGTACTTAGGAGAGCACCCTCACCATGCTTGCTTCCATACAATGGCCCCTGGAAACATGGCGCATGCCCGTCTTTGATACATTTTACCAGCAGTGGAGTGAAGAAGGCGATAGGGGCAGCACTGGACAGGCTTAAGACCAGTGACTGGGGGCAGCTAGGTCCCCAGGCTATACATTAGGGTAAGACAAGCACTAGAACCTGGGCATCATGATAAGAGGACTGACACCCACCCAGGCCGCATTGCCCAGGCCCAATAAGAAAACAGAAGAGCCTTCGTCGATCACAACTTCAGCATCCTTCCCAGCTCCTAGCTTTTTGTCCCTGCCATGCTCAAGCAGGACATTACTAGGCAATTAAGAGATTTGGGGACCAAACCCACTGGACACAAATCTGCATAAATTTTGCATAGCATATTTGCATGTGCCTATTTGGAAATAAGGGCTAGAATGTTTTTCAGTCTGATGAGAGCATGTATTTCTGTTTGACAAAAGGCACAGTCAGCCAATTAATTTATCATTCAAATTATCTCAGGTAAAATCAATGAAGTTGCACCCTGACCCAGATATTCCAAATCAAGGGTGAAAGTTTTCCCCACCAACACCTGAACTGTCATGAAAGAAAATTTGGGGTCATGATATTGCTGCATGTAGGAAGTGAGGATTTAACCCTTCTCTTTCCAGCCATAATACCCCTTGCACCAGTTATTGAACTGCATAAAAATTGAATAAATAAATGGGGGTAGATTGACACTTAGACAGACTTGGGTCTCTAGAGAGGAAATCTAGAGTGCTGGGAAATAGATTTCAGGTTGGGGTCCCATGAGCCGGGGCCTAACAATGGCCCTGCTGCCTTCCCTTTCCTGAGAGGGGTTGTAGGCTCTCCTACCCTGCAGGCAACTGGACAACCATCTCTCTAAACTTAGAATCCTACATTGAGGAGGAGGCTGGACCCGATGGCCTTATTTGCCCCTTCCAAGTCTACAATTCTATGATTCTGTGACCTTTGGGTTTATGGTGGGCACATGGGCTAAGTAGGTCTAGGACACATGAATTATATTGTTTTATATTGTTTATTTATTTTATATTGTTAATTGTTAATTTTACATTGTTATTTTTGTATTTTATTGTATTTTATTGTGTTGTAAGCCACCCCGAGGCTTCGGCAAGGGGCGGCATAGAAATGTTTTAATAAATAAATAAAATAAAATGAATTTCCTCCTCCACCCCCTTTTTTTAAAAGAAACAAATATTAAACTCATTTACAAATTTGGCTTTAAAAGGCTGTTAAACCAGAAGACCAAACCCAGTGTTTTTGGTGCTCCACGAGACCTTGTAGACTGGCTTTGGATCTGATTTGTGGGCACCCAAGCCTTGCATGTGCATCCCTGGAAATTGACAAGATAGGTTGTGTAAGGGCATTAAAATAGCTCTAATCCTCAGTGTGATCACATCTTATTGCAACACACCATCTTAACCACAATCATACAGGAAATGCTGTTTTGGCATGGGTATGAATTTGGTATAAATGTATCACACAAGGTGAACTGAGCCAGTGCTGGATACAGAAGTCTGCTTTCTTAAGAACGAAAGGATTGTGCAGTATCTGTACTCAGCATGGGTCGAGCATTCATATGGGCAGGTGAGTTTGGATGCAATACCATTAGGGCTGACTGATTGATTGATTGATTGAGAGCTCCTCTTTAGCATGTTTGTGTTGGCTAGCTTTCTCCTTTCAGATCTTCAGTGCTACTTATGGTGAACTGATGCAAAGGAAAATGGGATTTGCTATATGTTCAATAGATGTGTCAATTAGAATGGTGTGCAAACTGGTTTCTTGAATTTTGTCAGCTTATCTGCAGGCAGAGATAATTCTCTTAATTTCTCCAGGAGAAGGAAAATGTTCCAACAGTTTCTTGGGGATGAAGGTGACCAGTTGCAGGGCAGTAGTACAGCATTTTGTTTTTTCCGAAGCTAATGGTGAATGTAGTTAAAACTCAGGAGCATGGATGACAGATGATCCTTCACGTTCTCATTAACTGAGAACTTAATTAGTCCAGGAACTGACAAGGTTCTTGGAGGGACATGCATAAGAGTTAAACATGCTTGAGTTCTATCAGTCGACGGGTCAGGTAACTATAGCTGGATCCCAAATGCAAATGACCAAATGAGATTTCTTTATTTTTGCTTTATTTCACTCATAACAGCTCCTGAATAAAAAAAATCAGAGTTTCTCCCTCAGCAACTAGCTTGCCCTTTTGCTCACCCACAGAGAGGAAATATTTAGCAATCCCTTTACAGTTTATATGCTCTCTCTCTCTCTTTCTCAAGGACAAATCTCTATCTCGCTTTCTCAAGGTTGTGCTGTGGCACAATTGGGTGGCATACAAATGTAATAAATAAATAAATCCCATTTCGATGAAAAAGAGAATTTTTTTTCCATGTTAAATAGCACCCTTACCATGGAAGCTTGCATTCAATAAAATGAGTGAATGGGGGGAAATGGCTGTCTCTGTGTGTTGCAAAGTACATGCATGTAAAAGTACGTGCCATCATCAAATACCATAGACCAGGGGTCTCAAACTTGCAGCCCGCGGGCCAGTTGCCAGGACAGGCGGGGCACAGGGGAGGGGCCCTGAGGCCTTCAAAGCGCCGGCGGCTCCCAGGCCGGACACGGGATGAGCAGCCCACCACCACCACAGTGGTGGAATACTTGATGCGGCCCAGCCTCACCCAGACTCTACTTCCAGCGGCCCCCAGGTAAGTTGAGTTTGAGACCCCTGCCATAGACTGAGGTGAAGAACCTCACTGAGGTGAAGAACCTCGGTGGCCAAATCCAGTCCTGCAGGGTTCCCTGGATAAGCACATACCCTTTCTTCCCAAACACCAATTATCTGGTGGCCTCCGAGAATTTATACGGGTTTGTTGTTGTTAGTTGCAAAGTCGTGTCCAACCCATTGCAACCTCATGGACAACATTTCTCCAGGTCTTTCTGTCCTCCTCTATCCCCCAGAGTCCACCCAAGCCCTCACCAACTGCTCCAGTGACTCCATCCAGCCACCTCATCCTCTGCTGTCCCTTTCTTTTGCCGTCAATCATTCCCAGAATTAGGCTCTTCTCCAGGGAGTCCTTTCTTCTCATTAGGTGGCCAAAGTATTTGAGTTTCATCTTCAGTATCTGGCCTTCTAAAGAGCAGTCAGGGTTGATCTCCTCTAGGACTGACTGATTTGATCATCTTGCAGTCCAAAGGACTCACAGGAATCTTCTCCAGCACCACAATTCAAAGGTCTCAATTCTTCGGCACTCAGCCTTCCTTATGGTCCAACTTTCACAGCCATACATGGCAACTGGGAAAACCATAGCCTTGACTATACTCACTTTTGTCGGCAGGTGATGTCTCTGCTTTTTAGTATGGTGTCGAGATTTGCCATAGCTTTCCTCCCCAGGAGCAAGCGTCTTTTAATTTCTTGGCTGCAGTCACTGCAGTGATCTTGGAGCCCAAGAAAATAAAATCTGTCACTACCTCCATTTCTTCCCCACCTCTTTGCTAGGAAGTGATAGGACCAGGTGCCATGATCTTAGTTTTCTTAATGTTGAGTTTCAAGCCAATTTTTGCACTCTCCTCTTTCACTTGCATCAAGAGGCTCTTTAGTTCGTCTTCACTTTCTGCCATTAGAGTGGTATCACCTGCATATCTGAGGTTGTTGATATTTCTCCCGTAATCTTAATTCCAACTTGTGATTCATCTAGCCCCACCTTTTTCATGATGTGCTCTGCATATAAGTTAAATAGGCAGGGCGACAGTATACAGCCTTGCCAAACTCCTTTCTCAATATGGGTTATATATATAAAATATATACGGGTTATAAATGTTGAAATGCTTTACATAAGGCTTAGTGACTGGCAGGAAGAAGGTTAAGCTAAATAACCTGGTATTTTGGACACTGCTCCCTTTGTTTTCATTTCCACCCTCCACTGTTATGCTTCCTCCAAGAGCTTCTCTGGAAAGGACTTTGCCCCTTGGGCTAAAAAAGGTTCAGATCCTCCACTATAACCAATAATTAATAGAAGGAGAACAAGCCCTCTGAAACAATTTGTATTTTGCTTGCCTTCTTGCATACTTTCATAGTCGTGTTGACATTTGTGTGACTTGCCAACAGCAATTTCACTGTTCATTGGTGGAACGTACATTAAAGCCATATCATTTGATCCCATGCAATATTTTAGCAGCTTTTAGGAGATTTCTAATTAAATCGGAATGCCCTGATTTTCAGTTAAATGCCCCTACAATAATATGCATGGAATGAAATGGATTGTAGCAAAGCAAAAAGTGGATGATTTCATGAATACTTCTCTGCCAGAAAGTGTTGCCTCCAAATGCGGAGAAAGACAGGTGGGAGCAGCCACATTTAGCTTGTATTTTGCATGTTGATTATAAGGGCAGTGCCATAGGGACTGGATTTTATGCTGGTTTTCTTATAGGCTTGGATATATGTTGTTCAGACTGGATCAATTTCATGTGTCCTTTCATGATCATTGATGGTTTTAATTATCAGGGTCTATATTTTGTTTGTTTGTTTTATGCACTACTTTGCATTCATGTAAGAAAAGGGACATAAATATTGATAATGATGTCCTCCTGCTCCTCAAATCAGCTAATTGAAAGGTACCAAAGAGACCTCCTACCTGCCTAACTTGTCTTCCATTTTCATTTTGCTCCAGGTTTTACCATCTTGCTGTTTTTTCACTTCAGTAAGTAACCATCCATGAGTTCCCATTTCCTAATTCAAAGTCAAGAGAAAACAGGGAAGTTGGCTTCCATTAAGACATTTCCTGGTTTAGGACAATCTACTATAGAAAGGGAAGGAAGACAGCCAGACCCAAGAAACAGCACCTGGCATCTGTGTGCAGATACCAGGCCTCCATCACCCTGGCAGGCCCACAGTTGATGCCTCCCATGTACCCCACTCTAAAAAAAGAATTCTGGATGGCACTCTGAGAAGCACCTAGCACCAGGTAGATGGGTCTAGCTATCTTCTGACTTCCCACAAGACCACTGGCCAAGGCCACTATTTTTCCCACAATGCATCTGCCCACTGCTCAGATGCATTGTGGGAAAAATACAGGAAAGCTAAACTAGCAGCCAGCAGTACTCTGAACAGTGTCACTGCAGCCTGGAAAGCCTGCTAGGGTCTCAGAGGACACTTTTCCCAGGGCTGACCCTGGCCAAAGCGATGCAGATACAGAGCAGAGGCAGCAGCGATTCCAACAGCAAGAGAGAAATAAAAATTGACAGAGGAATGGGACAAGTGGAACTCTTATTTCCTGGCACATGTGATGAATGGAACACTTTGCACAGTTCCGCCCAGGTAGAAGTTGATATTAGAGCAAGTTTTAAGGTTTGCCACTATCAGATGCTAGCCAACCGTTGTCTTGGCAGTGCCTAGAAAGACACAGGAGGGAGTGTGCTAAGGAGGACAAAACCACAGAGAGGATGAAATGCAGGTTATTGCACAAGCCACTGCTCTTTCAGGTACAACTCAAACGGAAATTTGGCAGGGGCTTCAGGTTCAGCCATCAGGGAGTCTGCATGCCGGCCAGCAAACTCAGCCAGATCCATGCTCTGGTTTGTGTTGGAGAACTCTGTTGTGGGGGTGCACAATGGTGCAAGCTGCTCATGAGAGCCCCTCCCAAGCTCTGAAGTGTGCAGCAAAAAATCCAGCCCCCATCCAGGCTGGGGATTGAAGCCAGCGCCCCCCCCCCCCCAATCCCACATAGGAATGCTCAGTGTGGGGAGCCCCAACACATGCTCTCCAACAAGATTGATGCAACCCAATGCCTTCCAAGCAGCAAGAACTGTGAGAGATTAACCATCATAAACTGCATGAATATATAGGCAAATGTAATCTTCATACAGGGAAAGCAAGCCCTACATAGCTGAGCCAGTTGCATGTGCAAGTGAAATTTCTTCCCATCCCTATTTAACAGTAGCTAACAAGCATCGCTAACAAGATGGTTGGGTTGGGAAGTTCAGAGCAGCAATGTTAGGATTGTAGCTTGGTCCATCTTAAATAGGACTGGGACAGATCAGGAAGAGAAAGACTTCCCTGCAGTTTGCCTCAGAATTCCTGCCTCCCAGTGGGCCAACTTGAGGCCCAGTTGTCTCAGCTTTCCTTTCCTCAAGCTGGCTGCAGGGAGCATCCAAACAGCACTACTGTGCCTGGCATAGACCACCCCCCTTTCCATGCCAGGTGTCCCCACAATCTGCAACTCCCCAGTGAGGCAGGAGTCAGAAATCCTGAATATCTGGACTCAAAAATTAGAATAACTTCTATATTTTCTCTCAATTGTCCTACAATTTCCCCCTACAAAATAACATCAGAACTAGGTCCAAACAAATTGTGGATCCAGCAATTACAAAACCTATGTTGAAAATTGGAGCATAGATTTTTCCTTGCTTTGAACTCACTTCTGTTTCAAATTAGCCCTCGATCATGTACATTTGCCCCAAGTTGATGAGAAGCAAGGACTAGTGCTTCAGGACAAGAGTTTATATGCACACTCCGTGGTCTCTTTCATGTGTGGTTTCCTTTCCACAGGCTCTGCTTTCAAACTGGTATGCTATTACACCAACTGGTCTCAGTACAGGCAGGACGCAGGGCGGTTCCTCCCTACGGACATTGATGCCAACCTGTGCACTCATCTCATTTATGCATTTGCGGGAATGGAGGACAACAAAATCAAAACCCTGGAATGGAATGACGAGGAGATGTACCAGCACTTCAATAATCTCAAGAAAAAGTATGGATGAGGCTGGAGTGGAAAAATAACCTTCTGGAAATCCTTAGAACCAGGATCTTGTAATGCCCCACTTTGTCGATTGCAGGAAATAGATATAAGAATTGTACAGAATCCAGATAAGGAGAATGAAAGGAGAAATTGTGGTCCAGCTGAACCCCTGCCATAATGCGGTAGCATCCATATATAACCACCAGCATTGCTTCTGCCATCGGGGGAAGCAAGACAAGTGCAAGGCAGCTGATTGTGCGTGTTAGGAAAGGGCAGAAAATTGTTAGGTATTGAATTCATTCTTGTACTATACTTTTTTCCTCTCGGAGAGGAGGCATGTGTAAGGTTTTCTGCCTCAGATGCCAAAAAAGTTAAGTAGCTTGCCACACACCCCAGAGTAGGACATGGCATTACTTGGGAAGGGGTGCCTTTTGTTGATCTATGCCAGGAACAATTGTCTCGTGCCATCCCTGATCATGAGTTCCTTTGCATCGTGGTCCTAAATACAATGGGCATCTTCTCCCCTGTGTTCACTGGATGAGTGAAGGTGAAGTCTCACCCTGACGGGCCTGCGGAGCCCGACTGTCCAGTCAATGAGAAAGTGGGCTGTGCACGTGCAGCTCTTCTGGGCGAGCCAAAACCCAGGGCAGGGCAGGCCAGGCCAGCTAGGATGCTGACGAATGAGGAAGCATGGATGGTTGCATGTACCTGAGGCTAGGGCAGCTTCTGGTTTGGGAGGCCCCTCTTCCAGCTCCTCTTTCTCTTCTTCACCAGTACCAGCACTTGCTTTCTTGCCAGGTGAAGAGCTGATGAGCGAATAGGCCTTGCCCTCCACTGCTCCTTCCCCTGCCATGGTTACCTGAACTAGAGCAAGACAAGCAGACTGCAGTTGTAAAGTAGAAGAGGCAAAGGTTTAGGAGACTTTTGTTGGGGGGCCTATTTCTGGGCGTGGGGCGGGGGTGGATCCAGCTTCTCAGATTTCTTGTGGACCCTCTCCCTTTTGGCACAACCCATACAGTTGCCAGCCCAGAGCATTGCTCACGGATCAGCTCAGTCCATGTGCAAGGAACACTCTTAAAAGGATTCCACCGATCAGCTTTATGAGAGAAAAAGCAAGGCAGGAGAGGCTCCTTCTCAACTCTTTCGATGCTTCCCTGAACACTTAAGGCGGGGGTGGGGGGGATTTAAAATGTTCTGGGGGTTGGTTGTTGCTTGTTTTTTAAAGAGCTCCACACTTGCAGCCCCAGGGTTTGATTTGGAAAGGAAGCCGTGCATGTAGGATGCTTCTGTGTTTTCTGCTTCCCATCTAGCTGGGAAGTGGTAATAGGCTTCTGCGAGGATTGCAGTCCTCCAAGTTTAAACAGGGCAAACGCTATTCAATATGAAAAGGCATATTTGCCATCTCAGCTGTGCAAGTGAAGAACATTGCACTCTTTTCACAGATGATTTTCTCCTCTTATCTAGGAATCCAGGACTGAAGACCCTTTTAGCCATTGGTGGATGGAACTTTGGTAGTGCAAAGTAAGTCATGAGGAGCTTTATCATGCATAGGTGACATGTGGCTTCCTGCCCACAATAGTTCTGTACAACTTGCCAGTTCCAATACAGTCCCTACACCCCATCTGTCTTTGCTTTGTTACGTTACTAATTTTCATATATTTAAAAAAAACTGGGTGGAAAAATGTTAAAATGTCAGGGAGGAGGCATCAGTAACTCTATCTTTTTCTATCTGTGCTAAGGGCAACACTTTCAGAGAAAATTAAATACAGCATGGCCATGAAATTGAAATATTTTTTTTTAAAAACGCATAGTAACTCTAATCTTCCATATCATAATCTATTTCTCATGTTTAAATGTGATATTCATTTTGCCAGTACATTAAAGCTAAAAGGGGACAGGGGCACACACTTTCCAATTTAACCCATTTTTTAATTCTCTCACCACTGCACCAATCCACTCTCTGGAGAAACTCAAACTAATGCCATGCTCTATAGAAGCAAAGGCCACAAAAGGAAGACAAATCAGGTACCCACGTTTCTTCTGTGGTGCCTAAAAAGCTGTTCTTGCATCACGAATGCTATTAGGGCATTGAACCAGGGGACAAATGGATCTGTTATCTGTCAACTGCTATGGATCTATTCGATGCATAGACTGCTCAGTGCATAGTTTAATCCAGCGCATCCCTGCAGGCTGAGATGCCCAGGTGGGGACGGATTGTGTGCACACATGCCCACGTGTGGATTCTTCCGCCACAGCCAACACTGGGTGTGTGGCCCTTGGGTTCAGAAAGGCCACACACCCTTACAGAAGACTGGTTCAACATCATAGCCTCTATTTTGTTGCTCACAGACTTCAGTGAAGTGCACAATCTAGAATTACCTGTTCTTCCTGAATGAAATATACTGATATGAGTAATACATGCTTCCATAGAATATGGAAATGACCATTTATTCTGGATGTTGTAGTAGAGAAGATGTAGAGATACACTTTCAGGAACAGAAACATACTCTAAATGTGCAAAGTTATGTAACCGGAATGTAATAAAGGTGTAGACAGAATAGTGATATAAGAGTGCAGCTCAAACCTAATTGGATTACATATTTCATTGGACTGTAAAATATGGGTTTTAAATTTTGGGTTTTTTTAATGGATTACTGTTTAGAACTGAAATTAAAATTTGGAACCAGGAGGTTAATAAATACAGGCAGAGAATAGATTGTGCAGAGCAATGTGACTTGGTGGTAAAGCAAAGGATGGCAAATCAGAAGATTAAGATCAAATAGTAAAAGTATGCTAATGGGAAAAACATATATTTAGCACCCTCTTGAAGACAGAAAAAGGATCTGGTGGATTTCCATGGGGAGGTGCTCTATGGTTTTGGTGCCATCACTGAAAAGGCTGTGTCTTGACAAGAAGAAAAGGAAATGTTACCTTTTTCACCTGGATATGTGATTTCCATGCTAGGTTCTCTGCCATGGTGGCCACTCCTGCCAATCGACAGATATTTATTTCTTCTGTCATTGCATTTCTGCACAAGTATGGGTTCAATGGCCTAGATCTTGACTGGGAGTATCCTGGATCCAGAGGCAGCCCCGCAGAGGATAAAGGGCGCTTCACTTCCCTGATTCAGGTACAACAACGTCTGCAGAATGGCCACCATAAGTTCAAGTTTCTACTTGCAACCCTGTTGATGTAGCAGTTGTTGTTACTGTTTCTCCTAGTCGCAAAAGCTACACACGATAGAAGGGAGTGATTAAAAAGAACCTTCAGGAGTGTTGCAATGGCAAGCAAGGTTAATGTTCTTTCCTCAGGGGAGAATCTAGTTGCAACAGTTTGAGCCGTGAATACCAACTTTGGGCCAAGGTGCAATCAAGCATTAGACTGATTCCAAGTTAAATCCTGGAATAAGGTCTTCAATCATAAACTAAGGGTGTAGGTCAAGAAGAATGACTAGTGAAGAGCAGGAGAAGTGGTGTGGTGGTGAATTTTTCCATGTGGGCATTCATCGTGACATTCGCCATAGCCTGACCCCCAAGAAGAGTCCATAAAGGCAGGCAGGTATGCAACAACCCCAATTCTATCAGTTTTTGTCTTCAGTGGGTCAAGAGAATTCTCCTGTTATCCATAAAGATAATAGGTCTTGGTTGGCCATTCAAGACCAAGCCATCCCAGAATACTCTGTATTACAACAGAAATATATTATTGCTGGGAGGCGGAGGGGAATCCTTTTTCTTTCCAGCTACAGTGAGGACTGAGACCAGGAAACAGAGGGGGTGGGAATGGGGGGGCAGAAGATGTCATCATCTCTGGAAATCAAAGGTCATGGTGCTTCAACCCTATGAAGCTGGCTTCTTCATGCAGCAGGGTCAGAACAGTCAAAAGGATGATGAGGGAACTGAAGTTGCACAGGAGCAGTAGGCGGTAGCATGACAGAAATCAGTCAAAAGTGAAGGAACTCAAAATTCAGAATTAAAATGGTTAAAATTAGATTATAATCCGGTATGAAGCCATGGCTGGTCAATTGGGGAAGGCTTGTTTAAATAAAGATGTCTTCAGAAGGCACTGGAAATCAAACTCTGTCAGTGTCTGCCTTGCATCAACCATATGCTTGCCATCTCCTTCAGACCAGTCCCTGTTTGCCTTGACAGTGGCAACAGCATATAGTTATTTGAGTGAGAGGCATCTGATGCCTCAGGAAACTAAAGGGAGGCTCTGTTTTGGGTTCCAAACAAAGTTCACCTTGTCCAAAATGGACCACAACAAAATTGCCCCCTATTTGAAATAGGGACTCTGTGCGTGGTGGCTGGATGGAGTCACTGAAGCAGTTGGTGTGAGCTTAAGTGGACTCCGGGCGATGATGGAGGGCAGGAAGGCCTGGAAGAAGGTTGTCCATGGGGTCGTGATGGGTTGGACACGACTTCACGACTAACAACAACAACAACTCTGTGCGTGTCTATAATAAGATAAACATGCAATGTAGAACAGGAGACCAAAAGTCTCATTACGTATGTATGTACTTGTGTGTCTGTGCGTATGGAACCAACATCCTAGATTTTCAGCTGCTTTGGACCCAAGCTTAGTTGAGTCAGTTGTCACATTTCATCACTTCTGCTCAGTTCTGGGGCACATCCTCTGATTTATTTATAGTAGGACTTGTATTTTTCAAATAAGAACAGAAGGAACAGTAATTTGTTTGTTGCTAAACATAATTATTTGGCTTAGGAAATGATGAACGCATTCCAGGCAGAAGCCAAAAGGACAGGAAAAGAAAGGCTCTTGCTGACAGCTGCTGTGGCTGCTGGAAAACAAACTGTGGACAATGGCTATGAAGTTGACAAGATCTCACAGTGAGTTCATTAAAAAAAAAAAAAAGGTGATATGGGGGACAGGGAATAGCTGCTCGGGACATGACCCACCAGCAAGCATGCTTGCATTTTTAAATCAATTTAGGGCACAATGCTACACATGCTCAGACAGGTAAAACATGCAGAACTTGTAGGGCCCTTTTTCCACCCAAGCAAACGTAGTGCCTTCAGTCCATTCACTCAAATATCAGGTGTTGACAAATCATATCTGATGGTCACAGGATTAGCCATGAAGCAACCACTCAGGATTCCATCCAATCAACATTCTGGTATTTCCCATTCCCCATCTCTTTTTAGGTTTCTGGACTTTATAAATCTCATGACATATGACTTCCATGGATCTTGGGAACAAGTTACCGGACATGTCAGTCCTCTGTACCCTGATACGGTATGTGGCAAAGGTTTCTTAGTCATTCCAGTGTCTTATGTTGCAAGCTGGGGAAGTGCTCAAAGGTACACAGCCAGATTAGAGTTGAGAATCTAGATTGGTCATGCCTGCATTTTACCTTACATTCAGAAAACAATTCATTAAACATGGAAAGGAAGGAAGGAAGGAAGGCAGGCAGGCAGGCAGGCAGGCAGGCAGGCAGGCAGGCAGGCAGGCAGGCCGCTTAAGGGTAACCCTACTAGAATTGGTCTAACTTGGCAACTGTTCTCCACACTTTGCTTACATCATGTTTAGACTATTGCAATGTACTCTCTGCAGGGCTACCCTGAAGAGTGTCCAGGAGCTTTGATGACTACAAATTGTGGCAGCTAGGCCAGGAATCAGTGCACACTATCAGGATCATTGAAAGATCTACGCTGCCAGATGCATTCTGGGCTCAGTTGAAGACATTCCTTTTAAGCATTAACACACTGAGGGAGCAATCCTGTGGCCCCTGGGCAGCATCTGAGGGCCATAGGGTAGCTCAAATGTCTATATCCAGGATAGAGTTTCAAACCCCCAAACCATCTCTCTGTCACAGCCAATGTGAATAAGAGCAACCTCAGAGAAGGGGAAAGGGTGTGAGGAGCAGGCCTCTCCCTGCTCTTCCTTTCCCCCTCAGCACACTTGGGCAACACCTTGGAAGCACAGTCCTGTCATTAAACAGGTTGCAAAAATTTTTAATCAAAGCCATGCTGTCTTTGAGATGAGAGGGAAGCATCTGCCCAGGTGCTGAATTCAAACCGAAACAACACTAAATGATGCTGGGGAATGCTCGTGCTTTGGCATGCAGTAATCTACTGTACAGTCTTAATTTTGTGGATTCCCACTTCCATCAGCCCAGCCAGTCTAGCCAATGGTCAGGAATGTTGTGTGTTGGGGTCCACAACATCTGGTGGACACCAGGTATGGGAAGATAATGTGAGGGTTTGGTGCCACAAAAGGAAATGCACTGAATATTGAAACTGGTTAATGGCTATTGAAATCATGCTTTTTCTCTTACATCTTCAAGGACGATGCAGTGGAGTACTGGAAAAGCAAGGGAGCACCTGCAGAAAAGATCATCATGGGAATCCCTGCCTATGGGCGAACCTTCACTCTTTCTTCTTCACAAACTGGGGTTAAAGCACCAGCCTCAGGGCCTGGGACACCCGGAACATACACCAAGGAGGCAGGATTCTTGGCTTTTTACGAGGTAGGAAATGTGGCTACATGTGAGCCATTACAACAGTGGGCTGTACAGAGGGAGATGAGGGGAGCACCAGGACCTTGCTTCTCTAGGCAGAAGCTCAGCACTCCCTCAAACTGGAAGGAAGCAACTGATGCCCGACTGGATTTTGAAACTGTAGTGTGTGTTTGGAAATATATGGCTGAGTGTCAGTGGAAACTGGAAATGCAGCTTAAACACCCCAAGAGATGACCCAAAGTTTACTGTCCCCACAACAGTTCTCAGGAAAAAGATCCCTGGATGCTGTTAGCTTACACAATCCTCAAAATCCAGCTCTGCTTTTGCCTTTCTGGAAAAACTGCATATTCCCCCATTTGTTCTGATGGCAGTTTCACACATGGGCCTATTACATCATCCTTAGGAGGATGGGGAGTAAGGAGGTAACCCTCTATGTTCTCTGAACATCCCAGACTGGTCCTGAATCAGAAAACAAATACCTAAGATTTACCTCTAGGGGTATATATCTAGTACTGTGCCAGCCTCCCACCCAAGCATGACTGTTCATAAGGCATGAATGTGGAATGAGCATTTTGAGGATTATTCTGGATATGGTTGAAATCGTTTCATTTTCAGAGGGTGCAGTGGAGGAGGATGCTTACAATTATAAGTTGATTATGCATTTTATCTTCTGGTGTGTCCCAAACTATGTCCCAGCCTGCAGTCAGCAGCCCCACAGCATTCCCATTTGCCACAGAACAGCCCATTGGGAATGATACGATAGGTCATGAAGCAGTGGCAAAGCCTTTATGTTAAGGAGAGGCTCTTACCATGGTAACTCCCCCTGGGCTGTTAAAGGAAGCGTGAGATTTCATTCACCCCTGAAAAGGACATCCCTTTCCTGATTTCCATTCTGTATCCTGTCCCCAAATTTGTCAGAAAAGCCTCCACTGTAAATTTTGGCCTGGTGCTAGCACTGCCTCATGGAGTTATCCTGGGCTATTAACATTCCCTTGTCAAGCCCAAGACTCTGGCCAGCTGTTGCCTTAGGGAAAACCCATATCACTGGCTTTACCAGTGAATAAAGACATTCATTTCTGGTTATTTGTATGGAGCAGGAACACAGAAATCTGCTTTATACCAGGTCAGACTATATGCCTATCAGGGTCAGTATTTTCTGCTTAGAATGGCAGTGGCTCTCCAGTAACCCTGGCAGAGGACATCTCATTCCTGATTATTGATGGTGGAGGTGGTTATCTGAAGGTGGGAGCTTCCACCTGCAAATCATTTGCTCTACAACCGAGCTATTGCCTCAAGCCAAAACCTCTTTATTGCCATAGGATGTCCTGGCAGAATATTTCAGAGGAACATTCAACCCCACAATATTCCACAAACTCAGAAATACAGACACTTCTTCCTATGCTTGGTCAGATATTGCAACATTCCCTGATTTCTAAACCTTCAATGGAGGAATTCAAAGGATACCTGTCTGAGCTCATAGGTCTGGCAACATGGCCACAAAACTGTTTGTTTTCTTTCAGATCTGTTCCTTTAAAAAGGGTGCCACCACAAAAGTGATTCCAGAGCAGAAGGTTCCATATTCCTTCAAGGGAAACCAGTGGGTAGGATATGATGATGTGGACAGCATTAAAAATAAGGTAAATATTTTTATATTCATTTATGTTTAAGAAACATGTAGCAAACCTCAATACATGTTGTGCTTAGAAAATATTGGATGGTAAGCTTGCTGCTTATGGGCCAATTCATATGTCAAATATACCTATACGGAAGAAAATTTGCTGGAAGAGTTACAATATCTTACAGGTGGGGTTTCACTGCCTGTGCACAAATAGCACATATACACACAGCAAAATGGCTAATGTTTCCAGGCATCATGGAAATATATAAACAGAGTGAGTCAGAAGGGATCTCCTGGGCCATCTAGTCTGACCCCCAGCTCCAGCCAGCTCTGCTCATGGCTTGCCCACCATGTGCATGTCCATCCTATCCTTGAACACCCTCGCCAATGGGGCCTCAACCACCTCCCGTGGAAGCCCACTCCATACCCCCAAATTATTATTACATTTCTATACCAACCCACAGTCAAAGCTCTCTGGGCAGTTTCCAACATCTTAAAGTCACCCATCGTGATTTCAACCTGGCCTGAACCTGCTTAGTTTCCAAAATTAGGAAGGATCACGCACTTCAGGCTATACCAGAGGTACAATAACATCATAATTCATGTCATTCTTGGACTCTAGTATAGAAGTAAACATACTGTGAGATGATGGAGGTTTTCAGACCTCTGGGTGCTACAACTGCACAATCTCAGTTGCTGCAAAGCTCCTTGTTGGGATCACTAAATACATGCCAAAAATTGAAAATGAAATGCTCTGAATTTTATTTATTGATTATTCTGAGCTGCATTTTCAACTTGTGCAAGTGCTCTGGAAAAGATGCATAAAAACATAGCTAGTTAACTGTTAGTAAATATTTCAACACAGAAATTAAAAGCCAGAGGACTCCTTTTTTTGACTGCAAACAGATATTTTTCAAAACCACAGATGGGCTTGATAGTCCAGAACCATATATATTGCTCTAGCTTTTGTATTCTCATCAGACTTTGAATTCCTGTTTTCTGTTTCACTCAGGTCAAATATTTGAAGGAAAAGAAACTGGGAGGTGGAATGCTGTGGGCCATGGATCTTGATGATTTCAAAGGCGCTTTCTGTGCCGCAGGCGCATACCCACTGCTTCAGACTCTGAAGAGAGAATTGGGCCCCACAAGTTAGCCACATGTCATTATGTTACTTCCCTTAAAATCATTGCTCATGCGCAAGGCCTGTGGGAAAACACATATTTACCCAACACTCTTACTACAATGCTATTTAGCAAATGCTATTATTTGTTAATAATGAAAAGTCAAGACAGGCTGTTGTATCAATGATTTTTTTGTGTGTTGTGAACTTCAAAGATCAAAATAAAATTAAAAAATGATATATGAGCAATACCAGTCAAGATACTAATGGGAAGTGCTTCCTTTTGTTTGTCCTGCAACTTCCAGCAATCACCTTTATTGGATGATCTGCACTGTATTATTCTAGAATTATGACAGAATGCAAACACACACACACACACACACACACACACACTTCTATTTATTCACTTTTTCCACACCATCTATGTTGTTTTGTGAGCATTTTGCTTTTCTCCAATGAAATAGAACAGTTGGTTTCTAAATTTCCAGCCTAAAACATTTATACTCAGAAAGAACAACAGAGTTCCATGAGAACTGATTTATGGCAGCCAGCCAGATTTTCCATTAAGATGAGAATACACCATTTCTCAACACCAAATTTCCCTCCTGCTAAAATAAATGGAATAAAATTAATGAGAATGTTTGTTTGTAACACATATACCCCACCTCTTAGTTGAGAAATTATGCACCTATCTTCAGTACCGTCTTCAATGTGTTGTAGCATGTAAATGTCAGTATGAACAAAATTTCTCATTTGGTATTAAGCATGCATCGGACAACTTCTGCATGTGGTACCAGAGGCCAGATGACTGTGCAAACAGCAGCAGCAGCAGCAGCCATGCTGGAAACAATTATTTACATGTAAAAGAAAATAGCGTAAACTAAACTATTCATGAGATTCTTCTGACAGTCCTAGTTCTACCCCTCAGGCCTCCAATTCCAGATGAAACATCAAACCCTGGTCCACCACAGATAACTTCACCCTCATCATCAAGGAGCTTTTGTCCTGACAGAGCAGATGGAATGTCTGCTGATTTACAAGATAGCAAAATTCATGCTTCAACAAGCTCCCTGCAAGGCTAATTTTTGACCATCTATGCAAACATTGCTATTATCCTCAATTAAGTCCTCATATAAATGAATTCCAAAGATGGACACATTTTATTTTAATCAGACAATTGCAATGCCTCAGTATAAAACTATTCATGTTTCCAATATGTTCTTCCACATATTTCTCCAACTCCTACTTAACAAAGCATTGTTCTCCACTGAAACTTTACTTCAGGATAGAAAAAAAGAAGATATTGGCCTAGTTTGGCTCCTGGTAGATTTCTTTTACTATAGTTCCTATCAGCTCCAGCCAGCATTGCTAGTGGTCAGGGTGATTGGCTTTGTGATTCAGACATGTGGAATAAGGCCACATTAGTATTTTACCGGTACAATATGTTTTGAAATGGCATCTTTATATGCTTGACTGCCCCAATTAATACTGCTTGTTGATGAAATAAGCATTTAAAAATCAAGCCTAGAATCCCAAAAGCTGACACTTCCCCTATTGTGTAATATTTAGTAACATATCATGCTTGGTTCTGCAATATTGAAAGCTTACTATAATTGTAACAACAGATCTAACAACAGATGGTGCTCTACACCTTCCTTACTAATCATATTCTGTACTTTATCAGTTAGTTGTTCCTTTAATCTGAGTAAGACAATCATGTCCTTGAAGTCTGAGTTGCTTATGTAACTTACTGTGACTTTAAGATATTCTGCCCCTTAAGGCCAAACTATGCAGGGGCCCGCAGCTGAAAAGTGCTTGGTCTGACCCACTTTTGTTCTGTTCTGCATCTTTCTTGTTGGCTTGTTCTGGTTTTGTTTGTTCTTGCGTTGGCTTTTGTTCAGTTTTTGTTTGGTTTGTTGATGGTTTGTTTGGTTGGGTCTGGTTTGGTTTGGTGCAGTTTATTGTTTTCTTGGTCAGGTGGAGAACTGTTCAGCACCACCTTGTACCCACATTAGGAGGGATTAGCCTCCTAATGCCCATTTGCTTTTAGTTTTTTCAACTGAAGTGCAGAGTTGTGTGGTTTTAATTGTTAGCTTATTTATTGATTTTATATCTTTGGCCAGGGCGTTTCCAATTATATTGTTTTTATATGATTATATGTATTTATTTATTGTTGTAAGCCACCCCGAGGCTCCGGTGAATGGGGCGGCATAGAAGTTTACTAAATAAATAAAACATGTGTGCAGCAAAGAAAAAAAGGGTTTGATGTGGACCCTCTGGTACACACTACCCATGGTCTACTCATACTCTCTGCCCCAGTCAAACAGTATGGTTGCTGCTTCAATGCAGAAGGTTCCAAACAGCGGCATGGTATGAATTCCAGGGAAAGGTAATGCATTCCTTCCTTCCTGGTTCCCACATTCTGAAGCAAGGGTGGACCAAACATTTTTATGCTGAGGGCCTCATCTCTCCCAGGCAATCCACACAGGGGCACCTATCAGCAGTGGGTGCAGCCAAATCCAGCGGTGAGCGAGGTCAAAGCCGCACATGGGAGACTTCCTCTTTTTCTTCTGCATTCTCCTTATCTCTGGCTTTCAGTTCCTTCTGACTGAGTGGTCTCCCAGAAAAGGGACAGATGGTTCTTTGAACTGAGCACATTCAAAGGTCTTTTGAAATTAAGCTGAGAGCCACACATTGCCCAACCGTGATGGCAAGCAAAGGGCTACACAATAAGGTGCAGCAAGACTTGCAACATGGATTCCTGATCCCAGAGCCTAGAGTCAATTGTGGCCAATAATTTGTTTGCTTATTTATTAGATTTATATCCTTTTTTCTTATGAACTCAAAGCAGCTAACACCATTCTCCTCCCCCTTATCCCCACAACGACAACTCAGTGAGGTAGGTTGGGCTGAGAGTTTCTGACTGGCCCAAAGTCACCCAGTTGGCTCCATGGCCGAGCAGGGACTTGAACCCAGGTTGTCTGAGTCCCAGTCTCATGCTCTTAACTGTTACACCACAATGGCTGCATTTGACCTTGGAAGACAAATGGTTATTAACCAGTGAAATATAGACAAGGGAACCAGTATTTAAGTTAGTGGCCCAGTTCACATTTCTGTAAGATATTAGCAATGCCTCCTGTTTTGACTGCCATCTTGCTTGGCTTCATCCTTTGACTCCTTCTCTCTCCATTCACAAATTAACAGTTGATCACTAACTTTTCAAAGAATCATAGAATAGTTGGGTTGGACGGGGCCAAGAGGGCCATCTTCATGGTACACCTTATAGATGCTAATGCTTGCCTGTCCTTTGGAGGTACATTCTTAGCTATGTTAATGGTTTATCTGTGCTGAAGGTTCTTTTGGTTTTGTGTTGTCCTAATCCCTTTTGTTTTGTCCTAATGTGCCTCTAGCATACAGTGTATGTGATCCCATCCCAGTGTACCTGATCTCCCATCCCTCCTACTAAATGTATGTAATTGATAGGTTATAAAAGCTTCTTGTATAGACTCCATTCTGTTGTCCCTTTGGGGGCTGCCTACATGCCACATGTATTTCCTGTATGTCTGAATAAACCATAAATGTTCTTTTGATTGTATACCCCCACATGCTGGGGGGTGGGGGTCCACTACTGTCACCTTGCTCAGGAGGCTGTTAGGAAAGAAGGGTTCCTGTCATGTTCTGCAGAGTCCGTCAGTGCAAGAACCGCCACGTGCATTTCCTCTTGCATCTCAGTCTTATTAGAGTCTCATAACCTGAAAAGCAATGAGGGTAAAAAGCTCAATATATTACATAAATATGATGAAGAAGAGATTAATGAAGACTTTCTTATCAGGCTGTTCTGCTTCATGATTAAATGCACCATATTCTGTATGGCTTCTCAGACATAAGGACTGTTGAATTCCGGGGGGGGGGGGGGCTGTATTCCAAAGGAAACGTGAATAGCATGGCAGCAGAAAAGAATCAATAGAGTGTTCATGACAGATTATGTTGATGCAGTGAGGTTTTCTGTCATGGCAGAAAGACAATCCACTGGCAATCAGTGATTTTAATATCACTGAACAGACATTATCCTAAGGGCACAATCCTATGCGATGTGCCCCCAGTGCCCATAAACCCCCAACGCAGAAGCTTACATACATCCTATGCAGGGCAGGAGGCGTGTCAGAGACCATCTTGGCCTCAGCACCCCATGCGCTCTGCATTTGCACTAGCTGGGTCATGTACATCTTGAACATGAAGTTAAGTGCACTTGCTCGGTAACTTGTAAAAAGAAATTATGCAATAACTGATTAGAACGTTAAGCAATAATAAGTGGGTGAGACTGAGTATGACACTTTTCCAGTGTGGGTGAGACAACAGGAAATCAGGTGGTGAAAGTTTCTTAGCCAGTTGGGACGTTGGGCAACAACTAGTTCAGAGGTAGAAATGTCTTCTGCAATGGCAGTGACTGTTTCCCTATCTGTCATCTCTCTACCATAATCTAGGCCCAGGAAAGCGTTGCCTAAGAGCCAAAACTCATTTGGATCTTTTAATTACCAGTTTACTTGAATACATTTATTTTTTATTTGCTTGCTTACATGTGTGTCTCTCTCAGTGTGTTTTTTGTGTGTCTATAATTATAGAGTGATTGTGTATGGGCAAGAAATAGGTGGATAGCCTCATGCCCAAAATATGGAACATGCTGAGTAGGAGACTTTAGAAACGAGTTCTAGGTCTCATGCTCCCTAACAGAAGGAGGATGATAAGGCTAATTCACATGATCATCATTACTAATGCAGTGGATGCTGGTGCCCACTGAGGCTCGTGGGGTGCAGGGCACCCAGGGGCACAGACTAGGTATGACCTTGTGCCTTTCCAACAGCCAGTCACTAAGACCACAGAAAGGGAAAACTGACGGACAAGAACTTCAGGAGTCGGAAATTCACACAGCCACAGAAAAGCAGTCCTTTGAACCCACATTCTCTTGTTCTACCAACAACTCTCCCTGCACAATCAAGTGACTTTATGATTATGAGAGCAAAGCAGGGTGGAAGAGCAGCCACCGAACCACACAGAATCATGCTGTTGCTGCTAATGGGAGCCACACCGAAAAGCAGACT